ATCTAGGTTCCATATGTAAGAGAAAATGTGGTATTTCTCCTTCTGACTCTGGGCTATTTCACTTAACATGATTTCTATTTGCATCTGTTTTGCTGTGGATGTTGCCAGTATGGTTTATTGAAAAGGTTATTCTATCCCCCATTGAGTTATCTTGACAACTTTGTGGCGGGAGAAATCTAATTTTCTTGTAGCTAGATTGAAAGCTCTGTGATAGACCATTTGTCTAGCATGTGTGAGTTCTTAGATTATATTAAAACAAACAAACAAAAAACTCCAAAATAAAAAGGAGTTGGGCTGGAGAGATGGCTCAGCAGTTAAGAGTGCTGTTTGCTCTTGCAGGACCCAGATTCTATACTCAGCACCCACATGACGACTAACAGCCATTCATAACTCCAGTTCCAGGGATTCTGATGCCCTCTTCTGGCCTCTGTAAGGCTCTGCATGCACTTGGTGCACACACCTACATGTGGGTAAAACACTCATACACATAAAATAAAAATAAATAAATCTTTAAAAAAAAAAGCAAAACAAAAACAAACAAAAAAACCCAATCAACCAACCAATGAAAACAATAACAACAAAATACCCAAACCAACCAACCAACCCCCTCCCCCCACTTTTTTTTTTTTTAAACTGCATCTCTAAGTTCCTTGGATGAAGGAACTGGGTTTGTATTGTCACTAGTGTATACCCAATGTGCACATAACAGGTACTCAGTTGGTATTTGTTGAAACAAAGAGTGGAAGGAAAGAAGAGGACCTGGAGAGAGAGTTTGGAGTGCGAACATGAGAGGACCTGGAATTATGTGGGTCAGGCGGGGAGGGAAATCTGCCATCATGTTTTGTTCTTGCTTCACTAAATCACCCTCTACTCATGAATCTGATTCTAAATTCTGTTTTTTTCATAGGCCAGCTGTAATGACCATAGTTGATGGAGGACATAACGTTTGTGTCCATGTAGGGCCAAAGTTGATGGAGCAGATTCTACTCAACATTTCTCCAGATTGCCTCAACAGAGTCATAGGTAATATATCAACACACCGTCAAGCAGTTGTTCTTCATGAAACTATTCATTCAGGAATAGTTGGGACAGAAGGAATACTATACTGTAAATTTTTTTTTCCTGTCAGTATGAATGTAGAAGGATAGCTTAGTTTGAGTAAAATATAAAGACTTATGTTATTTGGTAGGTAAAATGTCTTTACATTTATTTCAGTACATGAATTGAAGGGTATCTCATCTCTCTTTAGTCTAAATTCCTAATTGGTCAGAAAAAACACATTAGGGCCCTGGTCTTATAATAGTTAAACATATGAATTTGTAATACCATGTATTTGTGCTACAGTGGAATCTACTGTTTACTATCAGTGGAATGGATGTGTAAGATCTTCAACTATGATGCCAGGGATAGTCAGTGGCTAAGAACAAAGTGGATATATCCCACCTGTCTGGTATCATGCTCCAAGCCTGTCCTCATTGGTCTCAGACTCCTTAAGGAGATAAGCTAATATAGTTCCTTGTATGCTTATTCTTATAATAGTGGATTGCTCATCTTGATTTTTGTGTGCCTATTAATTTTTTTCCTGAATGTTGAAGATTATATACAGCACAGTAAAGACTATGACAAACAGTATTTGTATCTGAAAATGGCCATGCTTCTTCTAGACCTTTCATGGGGGCAAGGGCAGGTAGAGAAGACTCAGCTTTGTCAGACATCGAGTTAGGTTCAGGTTTTGCTGTTGCTTCAGGCCCTCAGGCCTCAGATTCCCTGAGTGTTCCCTTTTCCCTGTGGTGGGAAATGGACCTCTGCATGGCCACTTTAGTTCTCTTTGCACCTATGCCTCAGAGAGAATCTCTCTCCATGTTCTTTTTTAAAAGGTGATACATACTATAGGGTACAGTGTATATCCCATCCAGTTTGGTATTTCGATGCATGTTTACAATGTGTAATGATCAAATCAGGGTAATTTGTATTTCCATAACTTCATTTATTTATTTTTTTGTGTTTGGAATATTTTTAAAAAGTCATCTCTTCTAGCTTCAGTCATGCATTGATTGACAGTAGGACTACATTCCGAGAAATGCATCCTCGTGTGAACATCACAGAATATACTATACAAACCTGGGTCACTCACTCACTGTGGCATCTGGATGCTATCAGGAAAACCTGATAAACATGAGATGGATGAGGATGTTGGTGGTTTTGGTGGCAGAATTGGTGGGCAGTACCAGGATGCACGCATGGGAGGCAAGTGCTCTGCCATTGCAGCCCTAGCCTCAACTTTTTTTTTTTTCAGTTCAAATTAATTTTGTTCTTAAGGTCCAAGCTACGACCACACGGTTTGGTACTCAAAAGAAATCTCTTCAAATAAAATATTTCCAAGTCTGTTTACAATCAAGTAATAGTAGCAATCAATCTTTGGGAAGCCCAGCAAGGGGAATTTGTACTTTTTCAAGGTCCTGTTCCTCTGAAGTTCATTTAAAATTGGTGTACGTTCCTGTATGACACAGGGGTAGATTTCTGTGTGAGGTCCTGTGTTGTCCTTAACAGTTTCTAGGATGCAAGCAGCACTAGCAAAATCATTTAACTGTCTGCATGCCCACAGAGCAGTATCAATGATTTGCGGCTCTGGAACCAGATCATAGCCAGCAAGTATGTTCATCCCTTTACCCAATTCCTAGGCATCTATGTTTGGCTTCTTGAAGTACATCACCCAACAAGCATCTGACTTCTCATCTGTCTCATGGGATCCATGAGAATAGCAGTGAGCTGACTGGGTAGTGGTGGTAGGGCTGGGAAATAAGGCAGGGTGCAGGAAGCCTCAGAGGCCAACTCTGACTTTGGTGCAGCTATCGAGAGCAGCAGGGACCATGATGGCAATTTCAGAGCATTGGCTGAGGCTGGAGAGTAGTTAAATATGGAGGAATACAGTGCAAAATAATAAGTAAAAAGTCTAGTATGGTAAATATGTAAAGTACAGTACAAGTGCTGTATAAAATGATATGTGCTATAGTTTTTATACAAGAGGCCATCCAGTGGGTTTATTTGCTTCAGCTTCACTGAAGCATGTGATCAGTGCATTGCATGATGACATTATGATGCCTACAACACTGGGAGGTAGTAATGTTTCAGCTCTTAAAATTTTATGCTACTACCACATAATGATGTATAGTGTATTAGTAGCCTCATGTTGGGTGTGGCCGTATTTTGAATCTCTCCATGTTGTTCTTTGTCTCCAAGTTGTCTAGGCTTCTGTTAGTTGTTACGTGGTGCATCCTAGTCTGGTGGAAGGGACAGGATTGACCTTTTTTGCTTCTTGTCCAGCCCATTTTACCCAGTCTTGCATGTGGTACTTCTGTGGCTCTGCCCCTCTGCCCCTGGCAGCCAACCTCTTCCTTTTGTCTGTGGTGGGTTTTGTGTGGCCCTTTACCCTACCTTTCAGCACTAAGGATCTTGACTGAGGCAGTTTTCTGTCTCTGTCCCAGGTTTAGGAAGATTTTTTTTTTTTTTAACTTTCCCTAGTACATACGGGGTTCTTATCTTGGGTGACAGGATCTGCTGTCCATCCTCGGGCAGCTAGCTGTTCGCTATGGGGTTTCTGGGGTGCTCTGTCACTTCTCCCCTTTGCTTGAAGCTCTCTAGATGCCCTGCTCCACCCCCAGGTTTGTTAGCCCTTGGTAGAGGTGAGAAGAGAAGCTGGAATGGGCCTGAGAAGTTAAGTCCCCTTCTGTCTGTGGCACTGGCCCATAGTTGGCTTTTAGCAGTTCATTAAAACAAACAAACAGACAAACAGCAAACAAACAGACCTTGACATGTTGCTTTCCTGTTTGTTCGATGCAAACAGGCTTCTTCCTAAGCCCTGCCTCAAGTGGACAGCCTGTGTTCTTGTTCCATGTTGCCTCAGAGATATCTGTACTTTTTGACAGTTGGATAAAATTGCTTCTCTTCTGGGTTTAAGAAAATGATGATTTGTAGTTTAGCTTTTTCTTGTATTTGATTGGGAGTCACACGCCAGCTTTCTACATCCTAATTTGAAGCCTGTCCAATTTTTTAAATCCAGTTTATTTCATGCTCATTATTTCGGCTGTTTTCATTCCTTTTATAATTTTCAGTCTTGTCTTTTTGTTTTATACATGATAATATTTAGTCTTTATTCCTCAGGAGAGCATAGCACATCAAGTGTACTTCTGTACCTTTTCATCTTCGCATCTGTGCTCAGACATCTTCGGATTCATTAGATTGTACTACAAACGAGTTATAAAGTAGTCTAAGACCATCTAGATTATCATGACTGCTTTCCTCATTTGTCAAAGTGAAAATACAAAATTTAAAAATTACAATAGAGAATTCTCATATCTCTGAAAATGTATACTTGGTCCTCTAGGGTGATGGAAGGACAAACCAAGGAACACTAACGGTGTTGGTCAGAGATCTGTGCAGGCTGAGCACAGTAGATGGTGCCTTGTCAATCCAGTGTTGAACAACTTGCTAAATCACTTTATTAGATGCCCTAAAAATATAAGGAAGGCTGTCAGACAGTTGTGAAATAAAATGACACATCTACACATCATTTAGTATTTTCAGTTCATAAGCTTATTCATTAGACAACTGTTTCAAAGTCCTTTTTAAAAAATATTTTATTATTTTATGTGTA